TTTTTTTTTTCTTTAAGCTTCAACTTTGGTAAAGCCGTGCAAATATTTTAATACTTAAGTTTTTACCCCAAAGTTTGGACACCAGCGTGTTCTTGGTTAACCTTTCCTCTACATTTATCAGCAGTGCCCTCTTGTGGCAGACCATTGAAACTGCACTTGATTAATTATGGACTGACTGTGTATTATTCTTAATAATGATCAGCATTTTAATAAAGTAACTTGCTCAAGAGTTGCACTGTGTAATTGCTACAGAATCATCATTGTGATGATTTAAATTGTCATCTTTGAAAATCCGCCTCATTAAATGAAAGGCAGTCACAATGGAGCTAGACAGAAAATAGAAAAGATCTCTGAAAATCCCTCAACTCCAAAGCACAAAAGAGAACACATTAGCTTCACTGCTATTCTAGACACTGTTAATGTCTGATTACATACTTCCTGTGTGTTCACCTGTGTTATTCTGACTCAGGCTCCTGATCTCTCCACTGTGTTAGTCATGTGAGAGTTTTTTAGCTGCGTGGTGCCAAGTTTCAGTTTACTTCACTTCACATTTACCGTGCAGAAAGAAGATTCTGTTTTGAGCAAAGCTCAGCGCACACAGGCACTTACAGTAAGAAGAACTTTCTGTAGTGCTCATTTACATATTTTATTCTAAAGCCGGCCTGCATGCTGTATATTTATGTATGTCACTTGTATACCTGCATACAAATGACCGCATTCTTCCAGAGGACAAATGTGGTCATTCACTGGTAGAAACTCTCAGAGAGCTGCAAATTCTTGATGAATCAAGCATACAATATATCGCTTTGTGTGTGTAACAAAACTAACTTCAAGGTTATTTAATGTCACTTCATCATAAGCACTTTGAAGTAGAAGGGACAAGAAAACAGCCACATGCTGATACCTGGGGTTTTGTGCAATTACAATCCTACAGAACTGTAAAATTTTTTTAAGTTGCCTGAATTAACAAACATGTTGCAAACTCAATACCTCACAAATATGAAGTAAAGGTAACTGGAGTCTTGTGAGTAAAAAATAATCAGCAGAAAGTTGTAGAGAGTTCAGAGTACTTGTTATTAGCTTAATCTGTTAAGAGGCAGATATTCAATTCACTTTTATGTATATTCTGCCAAATCATGACAAAATTCATTTCAAGGTGCTTAATATTGTAAGGTAAAGACCTTCCAATAATACAGAGATACCGCAACAACAAGAGGACCCCCTGTGAGCAAGAGCTATGGTGACAGCGGGAAAGAAAAACTCCCTTTTAAAATGAGGAAACCTCAGCCAGAACCAGGCTCATCATAGTAATAACAAATCATTAAATGTAGAGTGGTGTATAAACACACGGTGAATGAAAAAGTGTATGTTATCCATTCAATAAGATTTAATTAACACCCCTGAAGCTTTGCACTACATGGCTCATTTAACAATACAATAGTCTCACTCATGGTCTATTAAAAGCCAGACCTTTACCCTGTTCCTGCCCACACGCACACTGGAAATCCATTACACATTTACAAGAATCAACGTAGACGTAACTGAATTAATGATGCAAACACTAATAAATTCAGGATTCATGTTAAACATTAACCATCCCCCGAGTCTGTGTGGACATCAAGTGGAAATCAAGTAGGTAGGTGAATAATAGTAAGCAAACTTTCCCAGCCAGTATAACCAAAGTGCCAATTCAAATTCAGTCATGACTGTATTTAGAGTGTAAGCTGTTATCAGCTAAATTCTTTAATATTGCTTCCTAAGCCTTTGTTGCAATTTTCCACATTTTTACTGTCACTTTGTGGATCATGTTAAGTTGTTCAGCATCAACATTTTGTAGTTTCACATTTGTGATTTGGGCTTCTTTGACGTTGTTGGACATCAGTTGGTGTTCTTTTGCTTCTCTTTCCTTTCTTTTGGTGTCTTTGCAGCTACTGTAAGTGGCAGCTTTGCATGTCTTAGTACTGATTTTACTTACTATTTTTGCAGATGATTGCATCACTGTAGCAGTGTTGCATTCTATGTAGTTATTTTACATCACTGTGGTCATTTTATAGCTCTGTGTATGTGTGTTTGTCGTTGAAGTCTTTTTTGTTCTGTCTGTGTTTTTGAGCATGTTTACATTTTCTGCACCTCTCTGAGCTCATTTTGCCCTTAACAGTGGTCATTCTGCCTCTCATTTTTGTGTTTCGCATTTCTTCATCCCACACTTTTGTCTGCATACTTTGTGCTGCATGTATGCCTTTTTTAAAATATTATGATGCCTATGTCTATCTATGCCTATCGTTATGTGTTATGTAGTTTGTAAATTTGTAAATGTTTCAGAGGTATTTTGTTTCTGAGTTTTTGAA